TTTTAATGGGAGTATTACAAATCATAAAATCCATTTTTTTAAAAATTGTATATTTTTGTCAAATAATAATTGTATATTTAAAAGTACTTTTTATTATATATCACTTAATTTTTTTAATTTATTAAATGGGAAAATATCATCTTAAGACTTTGAAGAATTTTTTTATTAAAGAAAGACCTTAAAAATATAAAATTATACTGCACCCCACGTATCTATTTGAAAATAAGATTTTGTGAAAAGAGACTTAACTACCTCTAAGATTTTATGGATATATAAACCAATATCCTCATGTTTTGACAAGTAACTATACATAATTAACAACAACTCATTCAAAAATAAGCAAGTAGCAAAAACTGATGATAGCATATGTGTAATTATATATGTCAGTGTTAGTCCTTTATAAATAAGAATTTATTTGAGTTTTGAGAAGTAATCTTATGTAATCAATAACAATTCATTTGGAATTAGCTACTAACTATAACTTAAGCAGAGGAAGGTGAAACGAAATAAAGAAATCACCGAAGAAAGGAAGCAGAAGGTGAGGATGACAAACTAAAGCAAAGTAAAGGAGCGAAAGCTAAGGCAGTGGAAGAAAGAGAGAGACCCTCCCTATAAAAGAGAGACAAGCTCACTGCACTACTATAAAATATATCTCCCTGCTCAACTCCACTTACTTCCAATTTCATGGCACTTTGATTCAATTATTGCTCTCTTGTTGCCAATAGTAGTGCATTGATCATCCCAATTGTGAGACCTTTTGCAAATGTGTTGGTTAATCTCTGACTCTAAATCATCTATTATGTAATTTAGAATTTTTTCAAGTTTACGATTTGTTTAATTTGTGTTCTGTGATCTAGATCATGGAGATGGATAGAATAGAGCAAATCACAATATTTAGAGTAATATTTGCTCAAACAACAGTTGTCACAGGGGTTTTCATTTCTTTTCCTTCCTAAATTCTCCATGACATTTTGTGAGTTAATTAGAAAGTGTTGTGATAATTTTATGAGTTCAAATTTATGGCTTGTTTAATTTGTGTTCCGTGATCTGGATCACGAAGATGGATAGACTAGAGAAAATCATAATATTTATAGTAAACTTTGCTCAAACAACAATTGCCACGGGGGGTTTTCTTTTCTTTTCCTTCCTAAATTCTTCATGACATTTTGAGAGTTCAATTGTTGTGATAATTTCTTTGAATAGATTTCCTTTCTTTGTTTGTCTTATCATCTTCGGCTTTTAAAAAGACACAATATCATTGTATGCCTAACTCTTTCCTTTTGCGGTGCTTCTTTTATAAAATTATAATTTGTAGAGAGACAAGGTGACTGATGATACATTTTTTCAAGTTCTCCTGGAGTTTTTGATAATTGAACACAAGCATAAAGTTAAAGTACTATGAACATGTCCTAGAGTTAATTACCAGTTGCATGGCTTTGATGCTGTCAATTCTTTGTTAGATGCATGGATGTTGATTAGGAGTAATTGATTGTTGTTGAACCCTAAATAGACTAGTAGTGTTTATCAATATCTTCTGCTTAGTATGATTTTATGACTTAATGGAAAAATACTACATTGTGCACACCATTTAGTTAGAATTTTCTTTGCAAAGAAAGATCTTGTTACGATATATATTCCAATCTAAAATAGTTTCTACCAACTGTGATAGGATATTAAATAAATACTGAATATTTTGCAATTATTTTTTCCTATCCCTTTTAGCTTGTGGGGAACTCTACCCAATGATTAGCACATGAATTTTTTTATTTTATAGATCACGTTGCTGCACGTATCAATTATGCAAATTGTGAATGAGAATTTTCCCTGTTCTCTTCTTCTCTCTCTCTCGTCTATTATTTTCTGACTCTTTTTTTTTCATCTCCTCTTGCTCTAGCTCTATTTTTTGTTTTTTGCTTATCAAACTATATTTCATTTATCTATCATCTAAGCTTTCGAGGATCATGCCTTTCTTTCTCATCACCTCAATTATAAGGATGATATTGAATCATCTACAGTGGGGGGGGTTAATCTTGGATTTTAGTTTGCTAAGAGAATTTTTGACTTTTTCTATAGTATATATATGCATATCTTTTTGAGATTGGCAACAAGAGATTTTCATTCATCCAGCACAATTGATGGTGGAGGTTATATGGAGTTGTCTACAAGGTAAGATAGATTACCATTGGGAGATTTTTCTTGTCCTTACGTTGGCTTTCAAATTGGGTGCACACTTTATCACTGAAGGTGAAGTGCAATTTTGCAAGTCTTCTAGCAGGAGTATTTTTTTGCTAGAGCCAAAATGAGGGGGAGATTTCAACCCTGAAAGTTGAAACATAAGAATGATTGCTGTATTTGATGGCACCACAAAAAGAGAAATAAAACTAAACAATGTCATGACCACATTTAAGAGGGAGATTTCATTCGGGAAAATAGCAAAGAAGAGAAAATAGATTACGATTACAGTTCTTATGTATCTTTTTGTATATATTGAACCATTATATAAATCATAAATTATTTCTAGTTTGAACTCGTAATTCAGTGTACATGGATATTTTGTTCGTCTATTGTATATTCATTGTTCAGCATGCATGTATATGTATCAGAAATGATTTGTTCATGTATGTCCATCTTCTTGTTCCCATCTTTCTTGCAAGTATGATTACCTCCTAATGAAATTTCAGGATATAAGGAAACTTTGCATGAAAACAAATGTAATTTTGGGCATGTCATTGTATAAATTTCAAGATATGTAAAAATATTATCATGACAATGAGGAATATCTATAAATAATATGTCCTTTTTTTAGAATATCTATTACCGTTAAAAATGAGGAATATTCTTTAAGAATATGTACACTTTTTTAAAATATTCATTTGCATTTTTATAATAATTAAAGAATATGTATGGAATAAGCTTTCATGATATGTAATATCTCTCCCATCATATGTAATACTTTCTCACAAATGTAGATTTTTTGCATCATATATAATATTTCTTTCATCATACACAACACTTTTTCATCATATGCTACACTTTCTCACACCATAGGTATAGATTTTTTTTTCAAGAAATGCAACGTTTCTCTTGCAGATGTGAATTTCTTTCAAGAAATGTAACATTTTTCCTATAGATGAGTATTTCTTCCATGAAATACAATATTTCTTTTGTTATATGCAATACTCTTCCACATATGTAGATTTTTATCATGATATACAACATTTTTTCTATCATATATAGCACTCTTTCATTATATGCAATAAACTTTTGTGGGCACACATTAGGTGTAAACATATCAACCCCAAAAAATCTTGTTTGACATATTGGCAACAACAAACCTTGTTTGACATGCATGTTAACACCAAAAAACCCTTGTATTTATTGCTCAATAAATTGCCATTAAAGAATCTTTTGTGACTTATTGATAGAGAATGACCTTTTGTTTCAAGAGCTTTGGGCAATTAATTTGGTAGTAAAGAATTTTTGGACAATCTTCTTCTTCTTCTTTTTACCCCCCGACTCGTTTATCAAGCTTAAATGCTTATAACTTCACATGCTTGCCGGAAGAAAGACCACTTTCTAGTGCCCCACGCGTTATAATTAATTTCGAGTATATTGGACTTAGGAGAGGGTAAATGACATTTAAAGAACATCCTAAACCAATACTTACAATTAATGATCATGATTCTTGACTGCAATTAAAATTTTCTGAGTCTGTAATTTTTTTTAATACTCATTTTTAACATTTTCAATGCTCAAATTTAATATTTCTAATATATTCACTTCTTTGAATTTTTCAATGCTCATCTTTAATATTTTTAATACTCATCTTTTATGTTTTTAATACTCTTTCTAATCTTAATTTTAAACCTCATTAATTTTACTTTAAAATTTAATAAATTTTTACCTCTACCTCCTAATAAGGATAAAAAATTATTTTTAATAATTTTTTCTAATATTTAATAAGGTCAAAAAAGTAAAGATGAATACAAATAATAATGAAGTACTCTATAAATAGAATTAAAATTATTTTTCTATCTTTGTCCTATAAATAGAATTAAAGAAGTACTTTTAGGCTTTTTAATACTAAAAGCATTAAAGTTAAGTATTTAAAACATAAAAAGGATGAGTATTGAAAATATTGATAAAGCAACTGAAACGATTAAAATAAGTATCAAAATATTATTTTCTTTATTTTAAATTATAAGACATTTTAAAAAAAATTGACATCTCAAAATATAAGATATTTTAAAAAAATTAAGATTTTATTAAATGAATTTATTTCAAAATTATCCTTTCTCTCCATTTAATTTTTGTCCCTTTCTTTTCAATATATTAAATATAGGATATTTTTAAAAATTTATATTTTTTTAAAATAAGATTATTAAATGTATTTAATGAGATTTATTAATACATAAAAATTTATTCAAATGTGTCTTATAATTTAGGATGAATAAAATAATTCAGAAACTTTACATTTTAACAAAATATTTTTATTTTTTTTACATTTCTAAAATTTAAGATTCTTAATTACAATCAATAATCTTACACGGATCCTAAAATGCCATTTGCCCGGTTGCCCCTTTGGAGAGGAGGAATGGATAGTAATAAACCCATGGTGGTGTGTTGTCAGCTCCTCTATGGAGTTGGTTTCTCTTATTTCTTACTCTTTTCACTTTCTATTCATTTTTCACTTCAATCATCCGATCTTTTTTTAATTAATTGAGATTTAATATTTTATAAAATTATTTTTTTATTTTTAATTATAATATTAAATCTTGAACTGTAGTTTAGATAAAATTAATTATATATTAAATTTATTTATTTATTTTTCATAAATTTAATATTTTAATAATAATTAAAAAATTAATTTGATCAAACACTAAATCTCAATCATTCAAGAATGAGTCAATGAATCTATGATTGAGATGAGAAAGAGAGAAAGTGTAGAGAAAAAAAAAAAAATAGAGAGAACCCCTCATTTACTCTCTGTTCATTTTTGTTCAGACTTTTAGGACCAGCCGACCAGGACCCCTAAAGTCCCGACCAATGTCGCCGTCATCTGCACATTAAATATGTACGTATTTATTCATCATAGACGTAGTCAACGTTGACATTTTCTCTTTTCGTTTTTCCCCCTTTACCCAAACTTTTCATTCATTTAATTACTGATAAGAACATAGAGCCAAAAAGTCGAGAAAGGTACTATATTTTCAATTTTTAAAGTTTTAAAACAGATGAAGTTCACGTTACATTTGGATTTAGATGCAACATATAACAGGAATAAAGGTAGAAGAAGTAAGAAGACAATATATGAAATTTTAAAAAGTCAAATATATTGATATAATAGTAGTAATAATAATATAGTGGGCAACAAGGCACCTGCAAGTATGTGGATTCAAAACTCCGCATAGCTAATTAATTAGGGTGGAGGGAGATATGAGAGCGGCAGAGGGGGCAAGAGTTGCAGCGAGAGATCCAGGCGGTGATGCAGCTTGCGTGGTACACGTGTCCGCAGGATATTCGTTTGTTTCCGCCGCGAGAGTCAAACGCTTCCATGCAAACCGAGCAAACAGCATCGGCGTCCGTGTCTTGAACCTCCGGCAACGTGGACACGAAGCTCTTAGACTCGGCGAACCGGCGGCATGAATCCCCGGCGGAGGCGAGAGCCTCATCGAGGTCGAAAGCCCCCAAATCGATGGAGTAGTTGGGAGGTGGGCGCAGGTATCCCATGGCGCCCAGGTCGTCGGCTTCTGAAACGAACAAGTTATCCATGGCCCAATCTAGTCGTTCGTTTTTCCCTCGTCACCAATAGAAGGAATTGGTTTCATGCTCATCAATGATGATGAGCAACCGAAATTTGAACCTGAACCTCCAGATTAGGTCTGGATTTAATTTTTTTTTTTTACTTTTGTGTTTTCTTAAAAATTATTTTAATAGATATAAAATTTAAAATAAAATAATTTTCTAGCTATCACTTTAAAACAAATTTTTTTTTGGTAAACTAAAATAAGATTATGGATCTAAAATTTTAAATTTTAACAGTTTAAAATAAATGTGGACACTTCAAATGTCATCACTTCACTATGATAAGGCCGAAAGTAGACTCCTTATATAACACAGCTTGATAAAAGCATGAAATTGGTGGTTTGGATGCTCATCATCACGGAGGAGCATCCAAATCTAAAGAATACAATTTTTCTATTTCTTATTTTTAAATAATTTTTTAATTGATACAAAATTTAAAATAAAAATAACTTTTTAACAATATTTTTAAAAAATGAAATTATTAACTAAACATTACAGATATAAAAATTTAAAGTCAAATTATTTAAAATAAATTTGAATAATTCAAATCTCATCATAAAGACAAGTAATGAAACCCTTACTAAGTATGGGCATGATGTTCAAAGTCTTGAATTTTAATTTTGTGACATATATTATTGGTTGGGAGCTTGGCAACCCTTAGTCATTGGGAACTTAAGATTTACTATTATATTTCCATTAGGTAGAACATAAATATTAATTTCTATAATTTTGTCGTATTTTGTTATTGGTTATCATACTTTATTCCACTATTATTTTAGGTTTCTATAGTTTTTCTGATCTATGACGTTAATCTTTTTATTTTTAAATATATCTAGAGGGCCAATGGACTAGCACTAACAGTGTTAAATTAGGGCATGCACTTAATGCATAAACTAAAAGACTTGACTCATAATTAATGCATGACTAGAAATCACTTTTTAACGCTAACAAATGCTGTCGTTAGCACATTATTCATCAAAAAGCAATCATCCTTTTTATTACCTTTTGTCAATTCAAATTGCCAACTCATTATGTTTTAAACATGTTAGTATTCTCATCAGCCTTATTAGTTACACAACAAATAATTTAACACTGCTATTAGTGTCACATCATTGTCCCTTCATTCATATTTAAAAGTAGATAAACTAGCATTTAGATGAGAAAAACTAAAGAGATTGGAATATTGAAAAAGGATACTTGACTAATAATAAAATGCAACAAAACTATAGAAATTAATAATTATATTTTCTCTTCCCATTAATTTGTTCAACTATTCAGTGCCCCACACCCAATTCAAGAGATTGCACATATAGTAAATCCCACGGGCAGAGCTAGGTGTACTTGAGGGGGGACAGATGCACCTCCTCAGATTTTGAAACCTATGTGTATGTGGGTATTAATCTTCATCTCATGCTCCCACTTCTCCTTTAATTTGCACCTTCCCTTGAACAGTCCCAATATTGAAAAATAAATAACCATCATTTAAATTAGTAATACTAACTTCTTGTTCTTTTTTTCATTCACCAGCATTTGAACATTATGTTTTTAGGTCTCAATACTGACATATTCTATTTTTATATAATATGTGTATTTAAAATATAAGAGAATTGTCATTGTAAAAGTAGTAATATTCATCTAAAATTTATGCATGAAATCTTTTATTTTCTTGACGTGATGTATCAAACTTTTAATCATAATAAATTATGATTTATATAAGATATTTATCACATTAGACCTTCTAAAATATAAATCATATATGAATGCATGTGTACAATTTTTTATAATTATTTATTTTTTTTAAAATATATTGCATCCCTGATTTCAGACCCTCGCTCCGCCACTGATACAGTCATTTATACATGCACATAACTTAAAGGCTTCTATGTATAACTACTAGTCCCACATGTAACCAGATTTTGTTCCATTTTGTGCACAGAAGTCTTCGTTCCCATACTATCATATTGAATATATGGTAAGTCATTAAATATGATGGGCACAATTCTATTAAAGATTTAAATATTTATTTGTCATAGTATGAGAAACTAATTCCTTTCACTAAATTCAATTTCTGTTGATTTTGTTCTTTTTTTAAGTTGAATTATGTTTATATATTGTTCTCACTACTTAGAGAGAAATAAATATTGTCTATTATCAGTAGAGCTTAGTTCTTATGCTTATACCTGTTGACTCATAGAAGAAGCAGCACCGCAAAGCCCAGCGGCGAGTTCTAAACGCAGGCTGCACGCCGCTTTGGGACGCCAGCAGATGACTTACCGAAGCACATCGCATCATTTTCACATTTCTAGAATTATGCAGTAAATTTTTTTATTAATAATGTATTCAAAACGTCAATAACATCACACAATGTCATCTGTATATCAATACGTAATATAAAATATATGAAAAAAGTAATGTTTATAAATCATGAATTTACAACTCACCTTAGATTTCATACAAACCTACGGCTCACAATTTAATTGTATATAGGATCTATTTTTAAATTTACAAGTGCAAAAGTACATAAATGGAACTTAGAGAAATTGTAAATAAGTGAAGTTGGCTACATACATAATTATATCTACATCATTTTATCTCTGGATAAATAGTACTCCATCCGTCTAAAATGTAAGGTATTTTTAACCGAATTCTATCTTTTAATAAAATAGTTACCTACTTTTAAATTAACCCTATCTTTTTATATTTATTTCTATTAAATATTTTACAATAAATATAAAGTCATTATTAAAATGTGCACTTTTAAAAAAAGGCAATGATTACACATTAAAAGATTAAAAATACCTTATATTTTTTAATATTTAAATTTTTAAAAAAATTTTATATTTTTAAATAGAAGGAGTAATTACAATTTGATTGAAATGAATTTGAATTTTTTTTAAATTTTTTTATGCAATTGATTAATTTTTAATTGCTTAGATATGCGCTCTTCAGCGTGCCATGTCACATGATTCATGCATATAGGACTTGGGTAGTGTTGGGAGTTTTTTTTAGATAAAATGGAACGATTAGAAGTTTTATATTATTGTTTAGAATTTTTTTTTAAAAGGAGTGTAATGACTTATGATGACTTTCTAAACTATTCTAAATTCATTTTTTCTGACCCCCTAATTTGAAGGGTTGAAAATGAAATGCTTTGATATAAATAATATTATTATAAATTTGCTCTCATCCTTGACACCTCTTCTCATTCCTCCACTCCATCTAACCCTAAAATTGAAAAACATGATATATTTAACTCAAATATATTAATTGGATAATAATGATTAAATAAAATTATTATCAAACAATGAAATGTTCCATTCCATTCCAATCTATTCCCCTACACCTCATTCTCTTCCATTAATAATCATTCATTTATATTTTATCATATACTTTCAAACATATCTTTAAATTTAAAAAATTCCATATTAATTATCCAAACTAACAAAATTTTATGGCGTATGCTACTGCTACAATTTGAGGTTTTAATTACGTCACCATGAGTTCGATCAAGAAAAAATATCAATTAGAATTGATCATTCAAAATAAAAAAAATATTAATTTTACTTTGTTTTCTCAGATAGTACTCCTTCCATTTTTATATATTGAAAAAAACTCTCACTTGTTATTTTGTTTGTTTATAAACAAAATTATATGTATCAATAAGCATTTATTATAATTGTTTTACATTACTTCTTATAAACTCATAATTTTCATTTATGATAAACAATTAATGTAGCTTTGTTTTGATTAAATACAAAGGTATTGTAGTATAGGTTTCTTTTTTTTAAAATCTAGGCACGATTATTATAAGAAACTGATTTTTTCAAACTGTTATGCGGTTGTTTTCTGTTATACTTCCTTTGGACCAAAGCATAAGATATTAGTAACTAATTTATAATTCTAAAAAAATTAGTTGAAATATTAATTTTTTAAAAAAATTTACATATTTTTAATTTTACCTTCATTAAATACTCTGTACAAATACTTCGACTGCAATAATTAAAATTTTATTTAAAAAGAATAATAAATGAAGTAGGGTTATAATTGAAAAAATAATTATAAAAATTATACAATATCTTATATTTTAAATCAAATAAAATTTTTAAAAAATGCATTATATTATTGTCGGGAGAGAGAATATAGAAAAGGAGGGTGTAGTAAATCTTATTAACTCCTTAATGAAGTGTACCTTCAATGAATTTGATATCCATCTTATATTACAAATTAAACTGGGCTTCCCTTCAATCAATTGCCGTCAGTAAAGTTGAATTGATAGTAAAATGCATTTCCCCGTAAAAATAAATTCATTTTTTTTCACTATCCTATCCTATTAACAACAATATCGCAAAGGATTAATCAAATTTGGCCTCTGAACTAATGCATCAACTTCACCATGCCTACTTAAGGAAGACAAAATTGGGAGCTATCAAAATTGACTTCTCAAAGGCTTTTGATAGAATATCATGGTCTTTCACTTCTGCAGTTTCCATTAAAATGAACTTTTCCCAAAAATGGATTAATCTAATCTATCAATGTATCTCCACTGTTGAATGCCAACTTCTTTTCAATGGTAATCTTTCAGGGGTAATCTAGCCGTCTAGAGGAATTGAGGTATTAAGGTACGTCAATCTGCCAAGCCTATTTCTCAGCTTTTGTATGTGAATGATTCTTTACTGTTCTTTGAATGCACAGAAATAACTTAGAATCCCTTAAGAATACTTTGGAAATATTTTGTTGCATTTCTGGTCAATAGATTAATCATTCCAAGTCTTCTTTCATCATGAGTCCTAACACTTGTCAAATCCTTAAGAAAGATTGGGCAAATTATCTTAAGGCCCATTTAGTATGATGGAATTTGGAGGATGGAAATGGATATAGAGATGGAATTGAAATTTTTTTATGTTTGGTTGATTAAATGAAGTTGAATTTGATTTCCCACGTGGAAATTATTTCCATCAAAATTG